AATGTGGAGAAAAAGGAACACTTGTCCACTGTTGGTAGGACTGTAAATTAGTGCAGCTACTGTGGAAAACAGTACAGAGATTCCTCAACAAATCTAAGAATAGAACTACCACATGATCCACTTCTGGGCATTTATCTGAAGAATACAAAATGCTAATTTTAAAATATAGGTACCTCTATGTACGTTGCAGCACTATTTACAATGGTTAATATAGGGAAACAATCTAAGTGTCCACCAACAAATACATGGATAAAGAAGATGTGGTACCTATATGCAATGAATTACTACTCAGCCATAAAAAGAGCTTGCCATTTGTGACAACATGGATGTCACCTGAGGGTACAATGCTAAGTAAAACAAATCAGAAGGAGAAAGACAAATACCATATGATTTCACTCATATGTGGCATCTAAAACAACTACAAGCAAACGAACAAAAACAAATGGATAGAGGGAACAGGTGGAGGTTACCAGAGGAGAAGGCAGTTGCGGTTGAGTGAAAGGAATAAAGAGGGTTATTGTATGATAATGGATGGTAACTAGACTTTTCAGGGTGATCACTTTGCAGTGTACACAGATGTCAAATTATAGTGTCATACACACGAAACATATAAAAAGAAGGAAGGGAGGGAGGGAGGAAGAAAGTCAAAGATAACTCAGATTTTTGATCTTCGTAAGTGGAAGACAAAGTGACTGCTTCCTGGACTGGGAAGACAGTGGGAGAAGCAGGCTCGCGGAGGGCGTGGGAAGGCCTGGAGTTCTGTTTTGGACACGCCGAGCCTGAGATTTCTTGGACAACCAGGTAGACGTGCCGAGTGATCAGGTGGATGTGGTAGTCTGAAGTTTAGAGCAGAAAAGATAAAAATCTATGCGTTGTCTGCATATAGATTTTATTTGAAACCACAAGAAAAGATGAGATCATTAGAGAAATGACTATATAGATACAGAACATGAAAAGGTGAGAACTGAACCCTGGGGCCCTAACATTGAGAGGTTGTCACTGAGGTGTAGGAAGAGGAGAAGGGGCAGGATTCAGCAACAGGAGACTGAGCAGGAACAGCCAGTGAAGTGGGAGGGAAAAAACAAAACAAAACAGGAGTGGGGTCTGATTAGCTGAGGAAAGTGATCAAATGTGTTGAAGTTGCTGGTAGGTAGAGAAAGATAAGGACTGAGATATGACCATTTGATTGAGCAACATGAAGGTGTAGGGTGGCAGAATATGCCACCCCAAAACATGCCACTTTGGCAGAGCTGAAGCCAGTTAAGAAGAAGCAGATCTGAGAAAACTCTCTGTCCTTCCCCTATTTGCATAAAAGCAGGACACAAATTTACAGGTATCCCTTCTCTCCTCTCTACCAGGAAAAACAAGTTAATCAGAAGAAGCAACTTTAGACCCTTCTTAACCTGGAGACAGCACCAGAGGAATCTATAGAACAAACTTTACTAACTAGCCTTTATCTACAGAGGTTCTCATATATATGCCTTCCCACAATTTGCCACCCCTAGATACAGGTCCTTTTCCTTTGTTTTGTCACTTCTCTAAAAATTTATTGTTCCTTTGCTAAGATTCTATATAAGCCCAAGTTCTAACTAAACCTTTGAGTCACTCATCTCTAGGGTTGTGATGTACATGTTTATGAACTTGTTTTCCCTTTACTAAAAATTTTTTTTATTTATTTTTAAAGAGAGGAAGGGAGACAGAAAGAGAGGGAGAGAAACATCAATGTGTGAGAGATACATCAGTAAGATGCTTCTCACACGCCCCTAACTGGGTACCTGGACTGCAACCTAAGCAATATGCCCTGACCAGGAATCAAACCAGCAACCTTTTGGCTTGCAAGCTGCAATTCAATCCACTGAGCTGCACCAGCCAGGCCTTGTTTTTCTCTTGTTGAACTGTCTTTGACCAGTCTAATTTATAGGACCCAGATGGAGAATCTAAAAATGGGTGGAGGAAGAGACTTTTCCTCCCCTACAAAGGTCATTAGTGACATTGATAAGAGCAAATTAGGTACGGTATATGGGAGTGAAATCCTAATTGAACCAGATTGGGGAGACTGGAAGGAGAGAAATGATGCACACATTGTAGACAATTCTCTCAAGTTTTTGGCAGTAACTGGAATGGAGTTTGAGGTGAAGACATTGGTGTTAAGGTGTCAAAATAACACATTATACTTATGACAGTGGTTTCCTGTCATTGATAGAGGTTAGCATATGGTACATTCATGATAGTTAATCAGGTAAATATATGCAGTACTTGCTGGCTGGTGCTCTAGGTGCATTGGCTAACATCCTCATAGTAGCCCCATAAGATCGGCATGCTCCTCATGTTATAGAGGGAGAAACTGCGGAAGAGTGGGTTTGATTGATTTATCTAAGGTCTTACAACTAGTGAGTGGTGGTGCTGGGATTTTTTAAAAAGATTTTATTTATTTATTTTTAGAGAGAGGGAAGGGAGGAATGAAGAGAGAGAGAGAGAGAGAAACATCGATGCACGAGAGATACATTGATTGTTTGCCTTTTGCATGCCTCCAACCGGGGGGCCTGGCCTATAACTCAGGCACATGCTCTTACTGGGAATCAAACCAGTGACCTTTCAGCTTGCAGGCCAGCACTCAATCTACTGAGCTACATCAGCCAGGGCATTAACCTAGATAAAATGGCTCTCCACATCAGGCAGCACCTGTACTTAACTTTTATGCTATACTGCCTGGTCTGGGCTGAGCCTTGGTCATGGGCTGTCCCAGACAGTTTCTCCCAACAGCTCTTTCCTGGTTCTGTCATGTTATGTTCTCCAGGCCATGGAGGATCTCAGGGCTGGCTCTTGTGGGATCTTCCACCCTGCAGGGAGTCACTGAGGACGAAATGGGGGCGAGTCAGAGAGCAGAGAGGATGGGAGCACAAGAGTGAACATTGTCATCAAGACTGGAAAGGACTAGAGGTCTCAGGCTTCTGGCCCCATGTCATCTGTGGAAAGTCCCTCTACTAGCCCCACCCTTTCCCTTTCTCTTTTTTCAACACTAAACTTGCAGTGTTTTGAAAGAGTTCTGATTCATACATTAGAAAGCTGACTTAAGTTCTGGATCTGCTACCTAAGAGCTGTGTGGCCTTGGCCAAATGGCTTCATGTCTGAGTCCTTATTTTTTCTTTTATAAAATGCAAATGAGCGCTTACTATGCACCAGGACTTGGATCACTGATAAACCTGGGGCACTTGGTTGTGAACTATAAAGGACTGAACCATTGTGAGGCATTTTTGTCATTATTCTGATCCTTGCCCTAAATGCTCTTCCTCTCATTGGTTATTTCCAGTATAACTGATGTTCTCCTTTTACCTGCTCCCAGCTGATACAAGGCCTTTGGCCTTCTCTGAAGGCTCTCCTAGGCTCTTCTGCCATCTCTTAAGTGACTGGGCCTGTGCCAGGGGAATGTAAGGTAGAGAGAGTTTAGTTTAATGTTCGCACTTTCCGTCACTATCACATCACTCTATTATTTTAATATACCGTTCCATGAAAAAGATAACATATCTTTAAAAAAGTACACAAATGATGAATGTTTGATAAGTTATCATGGAACTACACCTGTGTAACTTTTGTTACCACCACCCTGTAAAGAAATAGAACATTATCAGCACCCTAGAAGCCCTCGTTGCACCTACTTCAGGCCTTTTCCCAGTCACTTCCACTTCCCTCTTCCCCATGTCTTATCTCTGTATATCCAGATCCCAGTACAAACCCTTGTCAAGAGGCCCAGTAAACATTTGCTAAACTAAACTGAAATCTTTTGAAATAATTTTGCTAGCCACCTTGACTGTCTTGGCCTTGATTTACTCTTCTGCAAAATGGGGATGGCGTTTCAGTAATTTCAATAGTTCTCAACCCTAACTGTACATTAGAATCATCTGAGGGAGGTTTTGAAAAAATACCCATCAAGTTTGGGCACTTCCCTGGAGCAACTGAATCTGAATCTCTGAAGTTGGATTCCAGGCAATGGTAGTTTTTAAAAACTTTCCAATGATTCCAATGTACAGCCATGGTCTCTTGAATCCTACCAATTCCAACCAACACTATACATTCAAATCTCAGTTCCACTACTACTGTGGGTTGAACTGTGTCTTCCAAAAGATGCTGAAGTTCAAACCCCCAATACCTGTGAATGTGGCCTTATTTGGAAGTAGTGTTACTGAAGATGATCAAGTTAAGATGAGTTCATTAGGATGGGCCCCTAATCCAGTCTGACTAGTGACCTTATAAAAAGGGGAAATTTGGACCCAGAGACAGAGACACAGGAAGATTCCCGCGCGAAGACAGGGGTTGTGCTGCCACAGTCAGGGAACACCAAAGACTGTCAGCAAACCACCAGCTCTGTCAGCACGTTGATTTCAGACCTCTAGCCTCCAAAATATGAAACAACAAACTTCTCTGTGTTGTTTTTTTTCAAGCCACCCAGTTTGTGGTATTTGGTTAAAGTAACCCTGGCAAACTAATACAGCTATTTACATCCTAGTTAAGGAACTCACATCACCCATTACTGAAACAGTAAAAGTAGTTCTATGTGCCAGGCTTCATTTTCAACACTTTACGCAGATTACCTCATTTAGTCATCCCAATATCCTTCTGATAGGTACTACTACCACTTCCACTTTACAGACAAAAAAGTGTGGAACAGGGAGGGTAAGTAGCTTGCTCAAGGTCACAAGGTAACTAAATTCACAAGAACATAATATATCCTTCACAAGACTATTGGGAAGCCTTATGAGACTGAGGTGTGGATGTGAAAGCGCTTTGTCATTAGTAAATCATTTTACTCCAGTTTGACAGAATCTCTGCAGTTTCGGGACGTTTTTTGTGCCATCACTCTCTTCTTACAGAATACTTCCTTCCGTCGGCGGCAAGGGGTCGCTGCGCCGTGCGGGTGCTGACAGGTCTCTCTAGCCTGCTGACGCTGTATGCTCGTTGGTGCCTATAAATACCAGCGATCGGCTTAGCTAGGCTTCAGTCCACCGCCGCTGGGGCTGGACCCGGCGCAGAATCTAGAGCTGGAATCAGATACGGTGAAGCTGAAGCTGGGCCGGGGCGGAGCGCAGATCTGCGCCGGAGCCGCAACGTGGGGCGTGTTGCTGCTGGCCCACCGCGAGCCGCCCCCAGCCCGCGCCGAGGCGCTCTCCCGCCGGGCCGCCTGCCTCCGCCTTCCTCCCCCTTCCTTTTCCCTGGAATCTCACCCCGGCGCGCTTGCACCCCGACGCTTCTCTGGGTGGGGAAGCTCCCGGCTGCTTTCTGGCTTCACTCCTTCCTCGCAGTCTGGGCTCCCAGCCCCCTCTCTTATTTTCCTGGACTGGGTCCCACCCCCTTCTGTTCCCTCCCTTAATCTCAGGCTCCCTGCTTCCCTTAGTCGAGTCCCCGCTCCTCAGTCACTTTCCTCAGCCAAGGGTCCCAGCCTTCCCTATTCCTTTTCCTTTCCAGGGGTGCAATCTATCCTGTCCTTTCCTCTGTCCTAGGGTGCAGTCTATACCCTACTCCTTTTCCCTGACCTGGAGTTCCAGACCTTTTGGTCTCCTCCTGTGATCCTTCCTGGGCCCTTGTCCCTCTTCCCCAGTTTGGAGTTCTGGATCGAGAACCCAGCCTTCCTCCACCCACAGAGGACTGCTTCCACAAAAAAACCTCTCTAAAATACGAACTTTTCCTAGAGACTACCCCAGTCTTTTTTTCCACCTGCTGATCCCTTGCTACCTATGTCCCAGGTCTGACTCTCACTTTGCTAAGTGTCAAGGCCTACTGGGCTGAGGGAGGGGCAGGATGCTTCTGTGGTCTGGCACCTGTGGCCTCTCTCCGCCCCGAATCTTCCCTTCATTGCTTGTGGCAGTAGCCTTGGTGGGGCTACTACCTGTTCTCAGGAGCCATGGCCTCCAGCCCAGCCCTACTGCCAGCACCATTCGAGGATCAGAGCCACCACGGGAACGCTCAATTGGGGATGTCACCACTGCCCCACCAGAGCTCACCCCTGAGAGCCACCCTGTTAACCATTCCATCGCTGGACATGGCACGAAGACTCGAAAGCCCTTTCCAGTACTGGGCATCGACTACGGACATGTGCACAGACCCTTCGAGATCTCCCTCTGGATCCTGCTGGCCTGCCTCATGAAGATAGGTAAGTCCAGTTTACTCAGATGTGTTCGTTGCCACCAGCCTGGTGAGCTTCATGCCCCATCCTTATCCTCACCGCTTGAGACAGGAATAACGGTCTGGACTCCTCCTGTAATGTAGGTAGCTTCCATCCTGCCATCTTGGTTCTTCTCAAACTTGAGCTTCGTGGGCTCTGTGCTCTGGGGCCTCCCAAGATTAGACCCAACATCGTGCATGGGAAAGAGAAGAATTAGAGCATGGGGTGCTTCTGATACTAGTTGGTTTCGGCAAGGCTACCAGACCTGGCAGGTCTCCTCTGGCTGGGCCAGACCCCGAGGGGAGCCAGGTGTCCAGCTGTGTGTAAGGCAGAAAGGAGTGTCTCCCAGCAAGTGGCACAGTCTGCTCTGTCAAGAGCAACCAGTGCAATTACATGCTTCATGGGAGGGTGTTCCAGGATGGAGTATCTTTCTACTTGGCCTGTCTAAGGAGTTTGATTATAACAGGGAATCAGTGTACCCGAGACCTAGAAGTGTGAGAGGTCCAATATTTTCACTTTCTTTTACCTCCGGAATATTGTCTGTCACCTTTACCTGTCCAGGCTGGTAAGGAGCCCCTGAGTCAGTTTCCAGCCCAGAAATGCCATTCTTTAAACAGTTTATGGTACAGGAGGCCCTGGAATTTCTGAAGTCTGTTTTGGGGGTGGAGGGGGAATGGAGGCGGTTGCAGCTTGGTCTGACTCTGGCTCACCTCCACGTTTGGCACCCGGCTGCGTCTCAAGGTGGTGTCTGGGCTGACCAATCATACTGGCCTGCTGCTCAGCCAAGTGGGAGAGGGACAGGTGGAGGGGCTCAGGATGTTCTGGTCTGAAGAGACTTTGAAACGTTCGTTTTGGGAGGAGGAAACATGAAAGTTGTTCCCTTCCAGAGGGTTGCTCTTCCTGTTAGGCCTGAGCATTCTGTTCTGCTAGGTGATTGATGGAGCTCACTAGAGCCTGCATAGCCCAGAAGTCCGTGGAAGGAGGTGGGTAGCGGCTTTAAAAGCTGCCTTAGCTTTTTTAGCCCCAGCTAGCTGTAGAAGGCATGAGGGCCTGGGACTCCGGTGGCTTGGGTTTGGGGAGTTTGTGACTCTTGGCAGGAAGCCTTGCAGTTTCCCCAAGGACATGCGGGAGCTGAGTGGCAATGCCAGGTTGGTGTGAGGCAGGCTCTGGGACATGCTGCAGCAGGACACTCTGTTTTGATACATCAAGGAGCTTGGCTTCCTGGTGCAGGGTTTTGACAGTAGTAGGGCCTAGCCTATACATAGACCTGGGCCACTGGCACCTATACTCTGATGGCAGCCAGTTTCCTGGAAAAAGTCAAGGACTGGGCCTGGGGAGCCATGTGTACTCATTCTGACAAATAACATGACCTTGAACAAGTTGGGTCCTTTTTCTGCAGGTCTTGCCCACCTGTGAAACTGGCAAGAATTCGAATTTGAACATATCAATTGAGTCGTAAAACCTGTTCTAATTTGTTGTAAGAAACTGAAGTAACCATGATGTGTCATTTGCTGTGTGAGACCAGGAAGAGACCTCACAAGCACTGTCTATGAATTGCCCTCCTCGCCAACCACCTCACCTCCCGGCCACACCTGGCATTGTGTTAGAGCCTTGGGGGATGGTACGCACACTGTAGGTGTCAGTGACTTCTGGTGGGATGACAGCATTACCACAAAAATCCACCTTTGGGCAGGCAGGAGTTTGTCCCTGCAGGCCTGATATCTCTAGTTCTAATGGAGTCAGGCTTGGCCTGCTTTGTCGCCACCAGAACCTGTGCCAGGGACCCTGGGCAGCAGGAGAGCAGAGATGGTACCATGGCAAGGGTATTAGTCTGGAAGACAGAAAATTTGGCATCTCATCCCACCTCGCTCTGCGAACTCGGACCAGTCACCCATCTCCACCTCTCAGTTGATCTTTGTGACCCCTTCTGTTTCTGCCATTTCACTGACTTGCGTAACCCTGGCAAGTCACTTAGCCTTGAGGCCTCAGTTTTCTCATTGTAAAATGAGGAAGTTGGATATGATCTTGAAGGCCTTCACAGTTCCAAAAGTCTGTGTTTCTGGCTTTGATGGGCATTCTTCTGCATCTAAAAACAGAGAAGTTCTAGTATCTGGCTGTCCTGGGGAACAAAATAGAAAGGTGACCAAAAGATCTCAAGGGTCCCTGTTCAGGTGGCAAAAGTGAAAGCCCATTTCTTTCCTTCACCTTGGCAGTGTAGAATTAGATAAGGGTTCCACTACTTTTCCTCTTTGCCCTTTCTGTGCCTCATTTCTTCATGTATAAAAATGGGGAAATAATATACCTAGCCATAGCACTGCTGATGTGCCAGTGACATAAATTAATGTACATAAAGTTCTCTTTGTTCCCACAGGAGGCACTCAGTGAGTGGCAACTGCCCCGTTGGTATTTTAACCACCCAAGGCAATGCGTCCCCCTTCACTCTTCCTCTAAGGCTGGAGGATTACATCTCTCTCAATCCTAGGCTGCTCCAGGGTGTCTTTCCTTAAGGTTTCAGGGCTTGGGGTGTGTCCCAGTGACTTTGATTTTCCTCTCACTTAAGCTGCCTCCAGAGCTGGTCTCGGTTGAAGGGAGATGGCCCCAGCTTACTTAGGTGATAGGGTTGGGGGCTGAGGCCATGCCCCCTCTGCACTCTCAGATGCCCTAGAACCTTGGAGTTCATTTTGGGGTCTTGCCTATTCCCTCAATGCCCCAGTGTGGGTAGGAGCTCTGCTGCAGCCCTCATTCTGTCATCTGTGGCAGCTGCTTCCCTTTCAAGGAACCCCTCCTTTAAGAATAGAAAGTGCTGTGTGCAGTCCTCCTTCCCATCCTAATCTTTGAGCAGAGCCTTAGGTAGACACTGTCAAAGATGGGTGTGGGAAGGGTGGGGTTGGAGCTGAAGTTTTAGAGTAGATGCTTCTTGCTTCACCTCTAACTGATTCAGTGGGTGAGTAGGCAAGCCAATTTGCTTTCTCTGGGTCCTTTCTCCCTGTTTGACAGTCAGGCATTCTTGCCTTTTCCCTGGTGTGGAGGGGCTAGTGGCGTGAGGGGGTTTAGACTACAGGGAGAACTGTGAGAGTGAGCCCAAAGCTGAGGCTGGGTCCATTCCCCACCCCCACCACACATTGTGATTTGGACCCTGCATGAATTCTGCTTTGTCTTCAGTTCACCTGGCTCGCAGTCCAGTGCTTGTTCCAAGGGAGAGCCTCGCTGTAACCCAGCTCACCACTGGCACCCACTGGGTTTGTTTGCCCATATCCCTGACCTGAAACTCCTGGCAGAGGCCTGGGAACCCATAAAGCTGGTATTCATTTTGTTTCCTGACCAGAGGCAAACAAGCATCTTATAGCTTGTTTTGATCTTTGCAAGGTGTATCCTGACATTTCCTCCTAGAACAAGTCTGTGAGCGGGGGAGAATGGGGGTCATTATTGCCTATTTCACATGCTTGGCTATCAGAGCCAGCAACTAGTTTCCTGTAAAAATAAGACTACAAGTCTTCCCTCCCACTTCTCAAAAGGAGAGAGGAACAACTTAAAGGGCACCTTGAAACTGTCTCAAGAAGCCCAGATGTAACCTTTCTAAAAAGAAACAGGTGACCTTTTTTTCTTTGGGAAAACAGCTGACTGCAAGACAGTAGGAGGGAAGGTCAGCTGAGGACTAGGAAGAAGTCTTCAGGTAGGACATATGTCTTCAGAAGTGCCACGGCCCTTCCAGGGCCTGGATTGGTCCTGTTGCTTGCACTTCATTTAGCTGAGCACCCATAAGACACGCCTTTCCTCTCGGCCCTGCCCTACCCGCCCCCGCCCCCAACTCTGGTGGAAAGGAAAGACGTGGTTGAAAGCCTGGTCAGGCACCATGTTCCTCTGAACCTGATTTGCCTCATCAGGAAGATGACACGTTGTCTCTACTTTCTAGAACTCACGTAGAGATTGAATGTACGAATGAATGCTCAGCAAAGCGCCAGGCTGGCTAGAGCTGCTTTCAGGGCCTGTTCAGATTCCGCCGCCTTCGGGAGGTCTTTTCAGCCCTTCCAGCTCACAGCAGTTGCTTTCACTTCTCCCCCGAACCCATCTCCCTTATTGTTTATCCACAACTTTGGCATTAGGCCTAGCCTGCCCTGTGACATCTCTTCTGTTGGGTGTGTGTGTGTTTTAATAAGAATTACCATTTATTGAGTATCTACAGAGTAGAGTCAGGCACTTTATAAAAGCGATCTCATTTAATCCCTACTAAAATCATATGAGATAAAGGCTATCTTTGTTTGACAGATGAGGAAACAGCTCAAAGAGGTCATCTGCTGTGATGCTGAATTGTTGTTTATTTTCTGTTTGAATCTTGGCATAGCCTCCCTGAGGCGCAGCTCCCTCTCCTGCCCCTCACAGTCCCCTTGGCAGATGCACACAGCACTGCACTGAGTAGGTGCCCACCTCCCTGCACCTGCATTGTGGGGCTCCTTCTAGGAACTGGGCAGATGTCAATGGTGGGAGTCCTCTCCCTGTCCTGAGAAAACTGTAAGGGTTCTGTGCTGGCTTTGGGCCCATTCTCTGTCCCTGTGAGTCCATGTGGGTGCACCTGAAAATCGCTGTCAGGCTGGGCCTATCCCTGGTCCCCTGGTAGTGCCCTCCATCTCCTGTTCAAATTGTTTTGAACAAGGAAGTCTTGGCTGCTCTCTGTGGATCATTTCTTTGGTTTGAGGGAAAACTATGACCCCTCCAAGTCCCACTGTGAAACAAATAGTCCTTCTCAGAGGTGGCTGGCATTGAGAAAACAGGAGGGGCTGGGAACTGGCGGTGAGGGGCTCCAGGCTCCCTTTGGGAATGCCAGCCTATACACAGCTGGCAGGCCTTTCCCCTTCCCTCCCTCTTCCCATTACCGCTGCCCCCCCTGCCCTGCCCCCTTTCCTTCCACGGCGGGGAGGAGGCTCACTCAGCAAGCCCTGGACCTGGGTTATTCCTGAGTCATCCATCGCCTGTGTGGGCCTAATTTTGCA